TGCGATTCGCAGAACCGTTTAAGCCATTCCGGTAGTTTTAACACGTCGAGAGGAGCGGCACGATTGGTCCTAGGCGTCTCCCCGTGATCGCCGCGCATTTCTCATTCCGGCCGGCCTGAAACACTTTCGGGGTTCTTCGGCTACTATGAATTTACAATGAGANTGCGATTCGCAGAACCGTTTAAGCCATTCCGGTAGTTTTAACACGTCGAGAGGAGCGGCACGATTGGTCCTAGGCGTCTCCCCGTGATCGCCGCGCATTTCTCATTCCGGCCGGCCTGAAACACTTTCGGGGTTCTTCGGCTACTATGAATTTACAATGAGAGGATCCCCTTTGTCGTAGGGAGCGACGTTTTTACAGCGGATATCTCGGAGAAAGTTTCGGTCGTTAGGGAGTGGACGTTTTTCACGGGGCGGGGGCAAACAGTTGCCTCGCCTCCGACAGCTTAATATTTAAAAGCCATGCTGCCGCTGCCGCCGTCGCTGTTGCTGCGAGTCGGCCGTGTTTCCTTTATTCACGAGCGAACGCATCCTGCGGGTATGGTCGCGCGATAAACAGGGACCAGGTTAGCCCAACGGATCCGATGTTAATGGCCAAACACGAGATCGGGCGGACGTGGAAACATTTTTTCATCGGCAATGACCGTACAAAGTGAATGATACAGGGTGCCGTTTGGAACAGTCAAGGTCACCTTGAGTGTTAGTAGAAAAACAATGGTTTTTTAAAGATGTAGAATACCTTTACGATAACCTTTTTTCACAGTTTGTACAATAACTGCTCGACGGCAACTGGAATTCATTCATTACGGCCGCATTCGCAGCTGGAGAAAAAGAATCCCGGTCGCGTCGACGCGCACCCATATTTTAAGCACGTGCAAAAATTCGTTCCGCGCGATTTTTCGGCTCCTTCCCCTGCACGCCCGGGCGTTCCGACTCGCGGCGGCGGCTCCCCGAGGGTACTGTTGGGGTTACTTGTTAGCCCACCATGGAACCGAATGGAAACGCGACCCCGTACGACGGGCGGCCCCCTCCCCTCCCCTACCCCTGCCGACCATTAGATGTTTTTACAATGAATCCCTATTTACCGGGCTGTCAATGCGATATTTATGTTAGCCGATATTGCGTCGCCGAGCGGGTAATTGAAATTTTCGTAACGCGACAGTGAGTCCTTGGACTGGCAGCCGGGCATTTCTGGCCCGCTGAGTCAGCCCCCGATCCTCCTCCTTTTCCCGTTCGATTATCGAGCAGAGAATGCTCCGCGACACGATGCGATCGGCAATCCATGAGTCCGCTGCGCCGTGCGGGTTTTCGACCGACACATGCTTTTATTTTATCGCTACATCTCTTCCATTACTTCTCTTTCTCTTTCTGTCTCGATATTGCTTTCCTCTCTCTTTCACTCTCTCGATCTTGCTCTCTCCTCACTCTCTCGATTTCGATCCCTCTCTTCTCCCTCTCTGCTCTCTCTCTCATCTCTCTCTGCACTTTCTCGATCTTGCTCTCTCCTCTCTCTCTCTCTCTCTCGATCTTGCTCTCTCCTCTCTCTCTCTCGATCTTGCTCTCTCCTCTCTCTCTCTCGATCTTGCTCTCTCTCTCTCTCTCTCTCTCGATTTCGATCTCTCTCCCGCTCTTCTCTTCTCTCGAGAGAGTGAAAAAGAAGAAAGAGAGGAGAGAGAGAGCGCGTGGGAGAAAATTATATACATTAGAGAGAGAGAGAGAGAGAGAGAGAGAGAGAG